GAGGATAAGAACACAGCGATGGAACAAATCTATTAAAAGCAGTGAGTTTTATTTTCTAAATAAAAAATGAAACAACTTTAATTACAGGATTTGGTATGCGTGATGTAACTGCTCGATATGCTTCTAAATTTCTAGCATCTGACATGCGAAGACTTCGTGCTGATCCGGACTGGTGGGCTCAGACAATCAAAGTAAGTACTCTTCCATCAAATGCAGTTCCCCCCTCCCCTCCCCCGCCTCTCTCCTTTCTCCCCCGTGTTTTTAGTCTGTATGAGAGGCGAATATTCGTAAGTTGTTCGAGTAGCACGTACCAACGGCATTTACCTGCAAGGTTGTGAATGACTTTTTTTTGGGGAATACTTGCAAAAATGCTGATATTTATTATAATGAAGATTTGTGAATTAAAAACCTATATTTGTATCTAATAAATGAAATGTTACAGTTATTTCGAAGTAAGGATCGAAGGCGTGAGCGTATGGAGGATGTTGCAATTCATGAATATTTGATGTCGCAGCCGACACCAGCAACAGTTGCAGAGTACAAAAATCATCCATTGTAAGGCGAATTTGTATGATTTAGTTTAACAAAGAATACTTGAAGTATTGCAATACTTGAGTCGAATTTAATTTTTAGTTTGTTTCTCAAAATATGCAGCTAGCAACACGTCCAGTTGTTTCAGGCAATGTCGAATCCCTTGATAATTAACTTTTTAGCGGTTCGGACATTCATTTGTCCCCTTACAGACCACAGACCACCTCAGCGGCTTTCCCAAGTGAAGAAGCTAGCAAAGCTATAACCGTTTCGGGACATCCTTAGCTTCTGCTGAGCATCGTCACCTAATTTCGAGAGTTGCTAGTCTTGGGCTACGTTGAATCACTTCACTGACTAGGAATGAGCAACTGACTGCGGATCCAGTCCAAACGTTTTGTCGATTTTCTTGTCGCTTCTTTTTTTCTGAAGACGTAAGCTTTTATTATATTTTTGAAAGTATCTGGGTTGAACGGCATTTTTTTTCTTGACAGGTATGTTTTGAAGAAAGATATCTTGAAATATGAAGCAATTTATCCCGAGAATCAACAACCGATTGGACAAATTCGCGGCATTGATATCTATCCCCGGAGTTCTGTTTTCCATTTGGATGGATCATTGAATTGGATGAAACAGGCACGCATGGTTAAGGTACTTCTTCACCGTAGTTTTTTCCCGTTAGTGATTTCTCATTCTGTCTTTTTTCCTGGCTTTTTTGCAACTTAACGAACGCGACTTTCTGCGATATATATGGTAGATTACATTTATTTTTCATATAAAGAAATTTTTTTAGGCCGGCGAGAAGCCGTATAAAATTGTGAAAGGTCGAGTAAATCCTCGTATTCCGCCTGAACTACGAGAACCACGTTCACTTGAACTTTTTGGCTTTTGGCAGACGGAGCCGTACGTACCACCGAAAGTTGTCGATGTAAGATAAATTTTTTTAAACAGCTACTCTTCAATTGTTCTGCTTTCGCCCATCACTGATTTTGACACAGCTAACCTCTTTTTTTTAGAATCCTCTTTTGGCGCTCTTACATCGTTGTTTGTTGTTTTGAGCATAGTTAATTGTGAATTTCATTAATTTATTTCAGTATAATGTAAAGCCCAATGAATTTTTTAGCATTTGCTAACACACGTAACTTATTGGTTGTCATACTGATGGACTCTCTTTGTAGGGCCGAGTACCACGGAATGAATTTGGTAATTTATATGTCTACAAAAACAGCATGATCCCGGAGGGCTGTGTGCATGTGCGCCTCGATGGACTTGTCGCGGTTGCGCGTCAGCTCGATATCGACTGTGTGCCGGCAGTTGTCGGTTGGGAATTTCATAAAGGAGGAAATCATCCAATGTTAGCTCATTAAGTTTTGTTCTTTGTTAGAGAATTAACATTTTTAAATTATTAAAAATACATGTGGATTACTTAATATGTAAAAGTGATAGGTAATAGTGTGTGCAGAAAATGCTACATAAGAATAATAAGTGTTTGCAAGTATTTTGCAAGTAATACTCACTGTTATAAGTAGCATGCAAATGGACTTTTAGTTATTCAGTTTTTAGTTAGCAGCGCCGTGAAATTTACAGGTTCAAGCACCATTTCTTCTATATTTCTCGTTTTCTCACCGAACAGGGGCAGACTGGGTGTATTGGAGGTTGGCTAAAGTAGTTCGTATTTCGTGGAACCGACTCATCCATGCCCTCTGCTCTCCTCTCTTCCTCGTAATTCTTCGTTAATAAAAATTTCTTAATTTTTTGGTCATATTTAAGCATATTTGAATGATTAATACACTGTGTCACAAATAGTTTGCGGGCTAGTCTTATTATTAGAAAAGATTGCTTATGAGTTGTGTTGTGTTTTTTTACTTATTATTTTCTCTAGCAGACACGGCACAATGTCAAATAGCTTCATTTCCATGTTAATAGTCAAGAATTCGATCAATTACGTTAGTGGAATAGTCATTCCTTCTTGTTCCATTCATTCATATCGATTCGTACTAATATTGAAAGTTGTACCAAACAAAAATTGTTCTGGGCAAGATGCTACCACTTGGGCTACTTCCGACAAAATACTCAGCAGGGAAAATGAGGAGGAAAGGCGCAGGAGGACGTGTTAATTTTGAAATTAACTTTATTCCAGTATCGAAGGATGTGTTGTTTTAAAGGAACATGAAAAAGCATTACGTGCGGCGTGGCGAGAGTTTTATGAAAGAAAGCAGGTTGCTGCGGAGAAGGTAGTTTTTTGGAATATTCTTTTCAGCTTTTTTTTTATTCAT